AATTTTTGGTGCTAAGTGGGAAAATTTTTGCCTTTAGCATGCTATCTTTTGTAGAATTATTTAGATAAATTTATTCAGATATGTCTAATTAAATTTTTTTTTTAAGGTGGCAGGTTAGCCTTAAATTAACAATAGGTTAATTGGGGTAGGATTACATGTAAAAATTTGTAAATTTTTAATAATGCATTAAATTTTAAATAAATAAAGGTGGTTTCAAGGCCTCACTTTAGCAAAAAAAAAAAAAGATAAAAAATAAATAATCATTAATTTTATTAGGGTGATCAGTTTCAATTTTTTGTTTAAGTCTTTCTACAGTCTTGTGACTTACTGATATACCCATTTTTGACAATAAGTCTATTGATTCAACTGTTGCTCCAGATGATGATAAGTGTAATCCAATTTCAAGTTGTAAAGAATTATTAAACTTATTTCTCAAACCAGCTAACAAGTAACAAAATGAAACAACATTTTTTTAGCATTCTTCTTATTAAATTCAGATCTATTAGTTGGCATAACCCTATAAAAAATTTGCATACTAATATGAAAATTCTGTATGAATTATAATTTTCATTGCTATGAAATGATTATCAGTCACAGGACATTTCCCGCCGATCTATAGGAGGTTGTAAAACATATATAGTAAAATTTGGGTGATCTGCATCATAGTAAAATTCGAATTTACATAGTAAAATTTTATAATCGAATGTCTTCACACCCTCATTTGATACCCTTGCTGTGTAGCAACCACCACCAAATTTGAGATATAATTTCTTTATCATATGTATCTACTTTATGAAAAATCTTAAAGCAGGTTGTTAATAAAACCGAAAATAATCTGACCCTCAAAGTCAAATTTTGCCTTTATATTCATATGCGTAAAATTTTGTTTGACGCGTCCAATTGCAAGTATAAGCAGAAATAAATGTCCAAACATTACATTATTATGAATATTTACAGATTTTTGATCACTTAGGTATGTCTTTTATAGTAAAATCATTTATTTTAAAAGTAAATATAATAAATAAATAGATTTTAAAATTTTTCTTTACCTATATACATAAATAATGATTAGAATAATAAACAAGCAACAATGATGATTAAATTAAAAGGTGTTTTATCTCTGACTTTATTCATTTAATTATTTATCATAGTGATGTTATTAAATATAAGTTAAAATAAAAGAGAAATTTATATACATAAATAAAATAATAAACATAACTATTGAATGATTGATAAAACGTTTGTTAGTATATTTTCGATCACTCCTATACAACTATTGAATAATTGATAAAACATTTGTTAGTATGTTTTGTTCATAGATCTTGTCCTTAATGCTTACTTCGATCGCTCCTACACAAATTATTGAAGAGTTGATAAAACGTTCGTTAGTATGTTTTGTTCATAGATCTTGTCCTTAATGCTTACTTCGATCACTCATACTTATAATAAATAATAAATAATTTTATGAATTTTATATTTGATTTTGAAGTCATCTTTTATATATATATATATATATATTTCCATTAATATTAAGGGGTCGTAAAATAGTACGATAATAATCATTTTACCGTTTCATCAATTTTTAAAAAAATTTCTTTTACCGGCGTAAATTAATTTTAAAATATTAATATATAAATAATGTTGATCTTGAATTATTTTTTATTTTGTTTTTACTAATTTGCATGATAATGGGTGCAATGTGTTACGTAATGTTCACAGAATTAGTTATACACAGAATTTGTGTGGTTAAAAATTTGTATATAACCAACTAAACAAATGCTTGTGCCATTCATCGAAAAATTTAATGGTGATCCTTCCTGATTAAGAAATCATCTAGATACTTTTATCCGAAATATCATTGTGAATTAAATTATATAGAAAGTTTTTGGGAAGTAACTAAAGAATACACTAGAAAAAATTGTAATTATTTATTTAAAGAATTAGAGAGAACTGTTCCTCTGGCATTGAACTCGGTTTCACTTTGTAAAATTGGAAAGTTTTGTTAGAAGATGTTATAGATTAGGGCTGTCAGGAAAAGCTGTAATATTTGCAGCAAAAAAATTATAAATCTCATAGAAAATTGCCAGATTTTATGTTAATGGATGTAGGTGGTATTATAATTGAATGTTGAATGATTAAGAAAACATTGTTAGATGCATCACGTGATAAAAGTTGATTATATTAGTTTTCT